TAACTTTAATAAAGAATATCTCTTTGGGTTTGAGACTTTAGTCTTTGCAACTTTAGGGATCTTATCTATTCACGAACAGCTTGTAACACTCCAAAGAGAAAGGAAAACTTGAAATCGCATCATATGACCCCTTTAAACAGATCAACTAATACACAAGCTTAATTATATATTATATTATGCTACAGGACTTAAGTTAACACTTTTTTATGATTTGGCCTTATTTAAGACTTGTTACTCAACTGATTTAAATGATATGTCTATTTTATAAAAGCGTGTCATTTTGCTTTAAATATACTGCCCATTGATAAAAAAAAAAAAGTGTTTTTTGGCATATAAAGATAAAGATGGACTTACATCACAATTGTTAGACGGTCTTAAATATTATTGTTTGGCAGCATTTAATGTTCTATAAGCCTGAATGGCTTGACAGCAAAAACAAAATCAGCTTGTACTTCCCAATTATTATGGCATTCCAATACTGATGATGATGATGCAAAACACTGGTGAAATTGAAAAAGAACATTGTTTCTACAGAAATAGTAGTTTAAAAAGTTGATAATCTTCTATAGCAGACACATCAGCTTTGAGTTCTTTATCAATGCGCATCAGTGTTTTTGTCTTTTTGCCGAACGTCTTTGAAACAAATCTAACACACACAATGTTAATGGTAGTTCAATAAACTTTGAAGAGAACTTCAAAAGTTGTTTCGTGCAATGTATATAGCAATAAAATCAGCAATGGAAAGCAGTCAAGCACTGCAGATCGCCTAACAGAGCTTTGGGAAGTGTTCGGCATACACATTTATGGCATATTCTCCACATTTAACCTCCAAATCCAAATTTTCATTCCAGACAGGCTTATTTTTAATAGCTGGTCAATTATTTACACACAGAGAAAAATGGATGATATATAAAAGGTCAATGAAAGTTACATGTGGAGGTTACATGTGAGCACTTATGGGCTGTGTGTGAAGTAATCATTTGAATGTAAAAAGGTTAAACGTTTGAAGTGAAGCATTACACAGCTCTAAAATCTACTGGCAGCCTGTTATATGAATTCTTAATCACCTTGTAAGCCTTTATAGTAGGGCTGGACAATAATTCAATATCAATATGTATCGCGATATAATTTTTTTCAATAACGGTGATATGATTTTTAAACACATTTCCGATATTTCGATATACATTACCAGTGTTTCCCATACATTGATTTATTTGTGCCGTTTGACTTCGTTGAATAAACATGAGCACTGCACGTTTCAAAATCAAAAAATGTCGCGGGTGTTTTATATAAATGTATCTGTGAAGGGAACCGACTGTCTTCAGAAAAGTTTCATATCGATATCGGAATTATATCGTATCGACCGAAATTAAGAAATATATCGTGATATCAATTTTGGCCATATCGTCCAGCCCTACTTTATAGTACTATTTCCTTGTGGAAGTGGTTCAAATAATCGGATTGATTTTTATTTTCTTTATTCTTTTTACATTCAAAAGATCAATCTAAATTTGGATTGTGCCATGAAAGTATAAACTCCTACACAGATCACACATCAGCTGGGCCTCTACAACTAATATACAACGAACAAAATAAATGTCATAGTATCAATATCAAGGGAATTGATCAGTCAGACATACTGAGCGTGTTTTTCATTCAGACTAGTGTTTTTTATTCATTTAAATTTGCAATGACTTCAAGCTTTTAACTTTAAAATATAAACTGAAAAGGCATCAGTGGCACTCGTCACATGAGCCCTGCAACAGTAGAAAAAACTGCATAAAAAAATACCAAGATACCACTGGGGTGAAGAAACAAAAGTGCTTGTTAGATCATATTTTCCAAAAAAAAAAATCCACACAAAACAAAAGTCTCCAATTTCAATATCTAATAGGTCACACAACAGGAATGTAAAATGATTCCAGTAGGAGTGTTGACAATAATATAGTGACCATAAGTTTTTTGTAAATACTGAGGTGGAGGGCCATTGCAGCATGCACATTTTAGTTAGAAATAAAGAAAACAAAATTAATGGAAATATACCTGCAAATAGTGCATTTTATCTTCCTGAAGCTCCCTCAATGGATAACCCTGGGGGCCCCCCCTTTCTAAGGTTGAGAATTCGTACTTGGCAATACGGTCTACCGTCATGATATCACCAGCAGAGCTATAGTCAAATGGTCTGTCAAATATTAAGTCCGGATGAATGCCTCCATCCTGGCTGTTTTCTGCAAACGCAGAAAGCATATATATATGTATCAGGATTAAAAATCAGTGTGCTCAAAATACACAGACAGACAGACAGACAGACGAATAGGTAAAAAAAAGAAGAAAAACAATTCCCTTTTTTCAGATTTTCGGTGTCCTCGTTAGAATTTGAGGTTCTAAAAAAAATGCTTCATGTGAAATCATTAGGATCCACTGAAGTGTCTCGTACTGAAAATCGCGACTGACTGTCACTATTTGCTAATAGATTGCAGCTAGAGCAAACTGTCGTTTAAACATATTCCCTAAAATATGTTTTGGGGCAAAAGATTGTTTGAGGGGTACAAACAATTTTTGTTTTACTATAAAATCAGTTGTAGGGCAATGTGAAATGCTGATCTTAAGGCAAAATGGGGGCACACAGCGGGATGACAGATGAGATTAGCTATTAGCACAGGCAGCTTAGCATGCATTTGAGTGAGACGCAAGTACAAGAAGCAACCCTTATACATACAACTGAGTTGAGTTACACAAGGCAAACCGTCTGGAAAGAAGCAGAGCACTGGTACAATTAAGATCACAGAATCCATTTCTTGCACATATTCCTTATGATTGCAAATGGGAGCGTGCCAAATAGCAGGAAGGGCAATGAAATACAGCTAACAGCAAAGTCACACACTTAACACCTACATTCATCAATACATACTGACAGCCTCAGTTCACTAATAGTTTGTGATGAAGCATATTAATTATATAATTATCATGTGACCTCTAGTAATTTTTATCCAGAAAACCCCTTGTTTTTATATTTTTACATTGTTTTTTACATGTTTGAATATTACCTACAGTTTAAAAATTGCAATGTTACTATATATTGCAACCAAAATACCATTGTTTCTGCCAAAGTACTGTTGTTATTGCCGTAAAATCACAGTAATGTAATATGGAATCTTCTTGAAAGGGTGCATGAAGCTTTTTTATGTAATTTTGTTTAATTAATAATTTTATTTTTTTGATGATAGCAGTGGCTAATACAAAATTACAAGTTTTGTTGTAGTAACAATTCCTGTTGTAACGTTGGTATTTTGGCCAGTGGTCCTGCAAATCCGCAGGGGGCCGTTGGTCACATGTCCAAGGAGTAGTGACATTATGCAACTCTGTGACACTTTACTTGAGAGTAAAGCAACTTTGCAGCAAAACTTCTGTAGTGGAGTTCACTCCAAAGGCATCTTAGCAGGTGTTCCAGTTATATATATTTCTTTTTGAGTGTAAGTCAAAATATATTGAGACTCTTTGATGAAAATAATATCCATCCATCTCAAAATGAAGGTCACATGATAAATCCAATGACTGTAATCATCATTGGTTGACCTAGCAGATTCAAGTTTTCCCCCCAAACACAGTAGTAATGAATGTGTCAAATAAATAAATAAATAAATATTTATTATAAAATATTATTTTATAATAAATAAATAAAATAAAATGACAACACTTTACAATAGGGTTCCATTTGTTAACTATATTTAATGCATTAATTAACACTAACAACAAGCAATACATTTGTTACAGTATTTATTAATCTTTGTTTGTGTTAGTTACAGCTGTTCATTGTTTGTCCATGTTAGCACAGGTCCATTAAATTAACATTAACAGATACAACTTTTGATTTTTATAATGTATTAGTAAATCCTGTAATCAACATTAAGTAAGATTAATAAATGCTTTATAGTATTTTTCATTGTTAGCTTATGTTAACTAATGTAGTAAACTAATGTTAACAAATGGAAACTGATTGTAAATTGTTACCAATAAATTAAAATAAAAAAACCTGAAGTATTAATCTTTTTTTACTTTCTATTTCCACTCCCTCTCTAAAATCTGAGGCTGTGTATGAATACCACTGAACAAATACTACACACTATAAATACTACTTGAAAGAAATTGTGTATGCACTATACATACTGTGAATCTTTAAGATCATTTACCCTATGCACATGACAGCAGGATGATCTACTATTGTCATCAAAATTAAAGCTCAGTTCTCTGTAATTTTACATTTTATTTCAAACTAGTAATCTCCCGATATCTTGCTGAGTGAAGTTATGTGAAAACAATTTAATACTAGAATTTACAAATATTTATTGCTGTATACTTTGCATTGTCCTATATATTCTTTTAAAATAAACATTGGTGTAGCAGGATGTAAGTAATACAATACTTTGTTATTTTGAACATAGCATTGCTTTCTCCTTGGAACATGCTTAAGGAAGCTCAGAGGTCCTTACCTTCGTCCACTTCATCATTGGACATGATGGCCACACATTTCTCCCAGACCATCTTGACATCTGCTCTGTAGCGGTCACAAGCCCACAGGAACATGGGGAGCAGGATTGATTGAGCTATGGAGCACCAGAGGACACACAGGACCATCCAGCTGTAGGAGCGGTCAAATTTCAGGCTGGCAAAGCTCACCACCTACAATGAAGCACTGCAATTATTTACATGTTAAAAAGCAAATTCAAATGGAAACACATTTCCTCTGATAATATACAGTGGTGGCCAAAATTATTAGAACGCTAGCATTTTCACCAGCTAAAACATGGTTTTAAGTCAGTTATTTCTAAAATGTGCCCTAGTTTATTCCTAACAGTTTAAAAAATACTGTTCATTAAAATGCTAAATTTGGTAGGCTATTATATCAGAATTGAATAGGCTGCGACTTTGGCCTCAATGCACAAGGCAACCATTATAAATCAACCTCTTAAAGGAGTCATATGATGCGATTTTAATTTTTCCTTTCTCTTTGGAGTGTTACAAGCTCTTGGCGCATAAAGAAGATCTGTAAAGTTGCAAAGACTAAAGTCTCAAATCCAAAGAGATATTCTTTATAAAAGTTAAGAGTCAACAACGCCTACCTAAAACGGCTCGTTCTAACACGCCCCCACATATCTACATCACGATGTGGTAAGATTTGCATAACGCCGCCCAAATATTCACGCAAAGAAAGAAGGCGTAACCG